GGAACTAAGGCCCCTTAAAAGACCCCGCACAGGGACCAGAGCGTGCTCAGGGTCATTGGCACAAGGCTTTCATCTGCCCTCCTTGTCAAGAAGAAGCCAGAGCCTTCCTTTGCTTTGAGAATGGAAAGGCGAGGGTGGTGATGACAAAATAACTGTACTTTGGTGCTGAGACACCTGGAGTCTAACAAGGTCCATGGGCTGCTTCCCAGGAAACATGTCTTTCTGCCCAGGGCCAGCACCTAGGGCCACATGAGCTGTACAGAGCAAGCCTGCTCATCCTTATGGAGCAGCCTGGTTTCCTGCCCCAGCTGTTCCCACCCAGCTGATAAGTCCCTTTGCATGCGTTTATTTGGTTTCCAAAGCACAAGCCTTCCAGCAGGTCAGTAGGGCCACAGCCCCAGTAGGAAGGACAAGAAACAACTCAAGAAGAGCATCATCCTCTGCTCTTGGAAGCCAGAGGAGGGACCCTGCTAGCCCTCAGCTAAAAACGAAGCCTTAACATGGAGCCCTTAGGTCACTCACCTCCAAACAGGGGCTGTTGTTATTATCATTCCTCTTTTCAGTCTAGTCATTGAATCAGCCATTTACAGAGGGAGCATTTGTTTGTTTGTTTGTTTGTTTGTTTGTTTGTTTTAGTGACTTGTGTCTTCCTCATTAATCTCAACTAAGAACATTTCAGAGATCCTGGCCTCAACCCCTCAGAGCAACAAACAATATCCAAAGAAAACCTCTGTTTCTCCCAATGCAAAGTGGAAGGGGTTAGTAGACAATAATCTACAAGACTGTGGCAGTGTGTCTACCTCTAATATAAAGATTTATCTCTCTTCACTAAATAAACGTATGCTCATAATCAGTAAATATACTTGCAAAGCGCATAGCACATTATTAATGCTTTTCTTTACTCATTCATTTATTCATTCAGTAGTGTAATTTAATTCATTATTACCGAGTGCCTGTTAGGTGTCAAACACCATGCTGGGTGCTGGCATTCAGTGGTGAGCTATGCACACAAGGTTCCTGCTGCCACCAAATAGCCTGGAGCAAAGGCCCCACCTCTCTGCGCCTGAAAACATAAAGCCAATGCACGTGTAGGCAAAGTGTGAGGAAGATCAGCCCTCCCACGTGTGACAGACATGGCTCCATTTTTTGATAGAGACAGAAAACTATGACTCTACTATAAGAAAAACAACCCGGCACGTATGATGAGCTTGTCTGAGAATTGAGCAGAAAGTAGGGACAGAAGCAGAAATGGAAAGTGCTGTCCCATTCAAAGAGGGCAGTATCACCGGTTCCACATGGGAAAGCCAGCCCATGGTTGCCCTAGACTCCTATTTCCAAGAGAAGTCAGAACCCCTGATTTATTTGTGAATTCTGCCGATCCTAAATATTCAGTCTAATTTTTTTTTAATTATTTAAGCTGAACAAAATGTCTGACAGCCGCTTTGATTGAAGCAGTCATTTTGTGAAGCTAGTCTAGAGATTAATGAGCTATAATCAGCTGGCTATAATCAGCTATTATGAGGTTGGCGTTTCCTGTTGTGACTGCAAAAATTAGCCTGCAATCTGTCAGAAATCAGGGTCAAAACGAGTCAAGGTCTGAATCACAAGTCAACGTTTGCCTCAGACACTGGGTATCTGGTTGCCATCACTATTTATTTCTGCCTAACGGCTTTTAAAAATAAATTTCTAGGATAATTAAAGGAAGAGTATCTAGAGTACAGTTTCTTTTCTAATCTTTGACATGAGAATGCAATGACTGAAGCCTTTTTACACGGCCTGATGAGTAAATGAAAAGACTCTTCGGGAGTGACAGCATGCTGTTGATAAATGCATTCTGGGCTGCCCAAGGGACCAGCTGCTGATTTTAATTTTTTATCTTAAGCAGCTAAAAAATGTGAAAGGTAGGAGATCCTTGAAGTGTAAGCACAGCTCAGATGGAGTGGCTGGTGCCCGAGTGTGCTCCTTCCCTGCTTCCAGACTAGGGCTGGACAGACACCATCTCAACTGCTCTGGCCGTCCCTGGTCCCTTCCTCCTTGCTCTGCTTACAGGGATGACATCAGAAGCAAGTGGGATCAGAAGAGTACATCTATATTTGTGTGTTTAGATTTTAAGTCAATTTAAGGTTGGAGGGGTTCCTTTAAAACAGAAGAGGCTCCCATAGACATAGATATGGGCCCCATATCTATGCTTTCTCTCAGCTCACCCTTTGCCGCAAAGACACTGCCCTCCACCCTCATCTCATCTATGACTTACACCTCACCTCCTCCAAAAACCATTTGAGGTAGCCTACAGGCAAAGACATTCATATACTACTGAGCGGTGTTGACGAAGAAGAGTAAGTCTACTGCAGGGGGAGCTCCCAGTCTGCTAGTTTCTGACTTCCTGGTAAATGGCCAAAGGACCCTCTTGCTCCAGAGTTATTTTAATCCTAATACTTTCCTAATCACCACCCAACACAAGATGCTTAATAATGGGTTTTAAAGTTCCTTGTCATGGCTCTCCCTTTACTTCTCCTGCTTTGTCATCTCTTGGCCAAGTCAGTTTTCCCTGTGCTGGGCAGGTCTGACTACTCCTCACCCTCTCAACCTTCTACAGTATCAAACTATCCATGAAGCCACTTCACTTTCTGTTTCCCCAAACTGGCAGTCAATTCTTTTCCAGATTTACGTTTTATGAAACTACCTGTCACAGCTTCAGGGTGGATTCCCTGAAAATAGACTCTAAGGTACAAGCTATTGTGATGCAACCTGTTGAGATGCAAACTATTCATTAAGGACCAACACCTGAGAAAGAAAGGGCAAGGACACAGGGCTGGCAGGGAGACAGTGCTGTGGAATAGAGTTAGCTAGCTTGTCTAGCCTAGTGCAAATCTCTGGGGTGAACACCACCTCTCAGAGGTGTCCCACCTGGAGTCAGCTAGATTTTTATATCCCCACCTTGCTTAGTCTCAGATGCAGACTGGCCTGAGAAGGGCATGACTTCTGGGAGGTGGCTCTCTGCAGCTGAGGCAGATCCTAACAGAGCTGGTGGCTCATGGCTGTTGACCGCATTCCCTACAGCTGCGCACCAAGCCTTTCTCGGAAGAGTTCTGGGCAGCATGCCTCTATATTCACCACACTGCCCTAGGCTAATCCTATTGAAATCCAATAATCCAAGGGCTCTAGCAACCCTGCAGGTGGACAGAATAAGCCCATTGGACCATTATAAATGTCTTCACACATCACTTCTCTCATCTCAGGCACCATGTTGCATATATGCTAGAAAGTGATCCTAATTATTTTATCTGGCTGGGTCTCTAAAACAGAGCTTACCAATCAGAAATCCAAAAACAGGTAGGCCAAAATTTCTTAAGTCCTTGGAGCAAACAGAAGGATTCTGGGCAGGTGGCTTCCATAATGAGAAGCCTCTTCAACTTAACCATTGTGCAGAATAAATATTACAATATTTAAAACTTTGCGATGCACTGCTCTAGAACCATTTATTCTTGGCCTTTCATTCAGTCAGTGTATTCATTGGATATCTATCTATTCTGCATCAGACACCTAGCTAACCATTGGAGATAGAGTGGGAAACAAGTCACATAAGGTCACTGTCATTGAGACATTTGCAGTCTAGTAGAAAAGAAAGAATGAACAAATAAACAAAGAAACAGAAACATAATTAGAAATAGTGGGCCCTGGTGGGTGTGGTTCAGTGGTTGAGTGTCATCCCATGCACCAAGAGGTCACCAGTTCAATTCTGGTCAGGGCACATTGCCAGGGTTTCGGGGTCCATTCCCAGTAGGGGGTTTGCAGGAGGCAACCAATCAATGTTACCCTTTCACATAGATGTTTCTCTCTCTTTCTCCCTCTCCCTTCTTCTCTCTCTAAAATCACAGGGTAGGAGAGTAGGGAAGGAACAGTAAGAGAGAAAGTCAGGGAGGCTGGCAGGCAGCAGATCTCGAAGGGCCCTGGAAGGCATGGAATGGTGTTTACATTTTATTCTAAGTGCAAGGGAAAGCCACTGCATTATTTTTAAGCAATAAATATCATGATCTGACTCACATTTTCACGAGAACACTAGCAGGGCGGCAGCAGTGGTAACAGGAAGGCCATTGGAGAGTGCACTGCAGCAATCCAGACTAGAGATGACATGGCTCACTGTGGATACTCACGGTGGAGATGAAGAAGAGTGGAAGGATTCAAAATATATTTCTAAACAAGACTCAATTCTTCGTGCCCTCAAGATGTTCACATTCTGTTGGAAAGACAGACATGCAAATAAATAATATAGCAAAATAGTTACTTTAATGGAAATAAAAATGGTACAGATGGAGCATAGCACGGAGTATGGAAGACTTCCTGGGGGAGCCAAGGTGCTCACAATTGTGTTGAAACTGGGGATTCAAACATTAGTAAAGTGCTGAGTAAACTAATGGTGGGCGGTCCTTCCAGCAGAGGTGGTGGTATGTGTAGAGGCCATGATTATGTGCCACACAGACCTCCACCTGCAGGGGCCTTCACTGACCAAAGACCAATCACCATGTCTACACCTCCCTGCCTGTACCTCTCCCGCTGTGCTTGTCACTTTATATATAGAAATCTGTCTGCATGACTGTTTTTCTCCCCAGATTTCAATCTCCTGGAAGGTAGTTTCTGGCTTGCTTACTGTGGAATAAATATTTCTTGATGGATAAATAAAAGTTTTCTTTGATAATTGCACCACTAATCACATCTTCACTGTCCAGCCGTTCTCATTTATACATTGTGCTGTAATTTCAAAGGCATTGCCGTCAGGTGTGGCCCCTCCAAAAGGTCCTTGAGGGTAAAACTCCTGTTCCCTCCTGTTCCCACCATATACTGATCTGCATACTCAAAGGGGCATCCAAAGACTACTGAATGAAATGAGTATTTTAATCACATTCAGTACAGTTACTAATTAATGAAATTTTATTCCTTTGTTGATTATCAGGGTGATGAAGTGACTTTACCTGCTGCTGAAGGGGTAATGCTGCCCCAACATGTCTGCCAAAGATAGTCAGTCATCAGGAGAGTCATCAGGAGAGTCATCACCCCTTCTTCCCATCACTTCCCAGCAATTCACACAGATCTTCTCTTTGGAGGAAGAGTATTCTAAGGGAGATGAGGAGAGTTCAAATGAAGACTCTCTGTTTTCTGAGGAGGAAGAGTCTCTGGAGGATGACCAGTATCTAGAGGAAGGTGACTCTCTGGAAGATGACCAGTATCTAGAGGAAGGTGACTCTCTGGAAGATGACCAGTATCTAGAGGAAGGTGACTCTCTGGAAGATGACCAGTATCTAGAGGAAGGTGACTCTCTGGAAGATGACCAGTATCTAGAGGAAGGTGACTCTCTGGAAGATGACCAGTATCTAGAGGAAGGTGACTCTCTGGAAGATGACCAGTATCTAGAGGAAGGTGACTCTCTGGAAGATGACCAGTATCTAGAGGAAGGTGACTCTCTGGAAGATGACCAGTATCTAGAGGAAGGTGACTCTCTGGAAGATGACCAGTATCTAGAGGAAGGTGACTCTCTGGAAGATGACCAGTATCTAGAGGAAGGTGACTCTCTGGAAGATGACCAGTATCTAGAGGAAGGTGACTCTCTGGAAGATGACCAGTATCTAGAGGAAAGTGACTCTCTGGAGGATGACCAGTATCTAGAGGAAGATGACTATCCGGAGGAGGAAAATTTGTATGAGGAAGGCTATCTGGAAAGGGGTGAGTATCTGGGGGAGGGCCTCCCAAAAGATGGTAACTTTGGTTCACCACAGTGCTCAGGAAAAAAGAAGAAATTTGAGATCTAGCCAAAGCTCAAATTGTCAACCTGCCCATGATGCTGACACTAGGAAGACTCATGACTAACCAAGTTCTACTCACAGCTTCAATAGCCAGGCCCCAAATCACCATGTCAGCAGAGCAGACAGGGAGACCTGATGAACATAAAGCACCTGTTCATAAAAAAAAAAAAACCTATAATTTTTATCTTTTTTTTTTCCTTACTGCACAAGTGATACATATGAATGTTTGAGAAACTACATATAAGCAAAAAAAAGCAAAAACCTCTACCATCCAGAGATGACTGTTCTTTCACACTTTGGTTATATACTCCCCAGACATTGTGCAGTGTTTGTAAACTGCNAAAAAAAAGCAAAAACCTCTACCATCCAGAGATGACTGTTCTTTCACACTTTGGTTATATACTCCCCAGACATTATGCAGTGTTTGTAAACTGCTTTTAAAGGCACATTTATTTGTATACTTATATATTATAATTATAAATAAATATTACATACTTATATGAATATCATTTCATTTATTAAATTATCTACAGATCATTTTAGTGGCCACAATGCACTATATTGTATAACACAATTGTATAATACAAAACATAATTTTTTTTTAATACTCACCCAAGGACATACTTTTGATTTTTAGAGAGAGAAGGAGAGAGAAAGAGAGAGAAACATCAATGAGAGAGTGAAACATCTATCTGTTTCCTCCCCATGTGCCCCGACCGGGAATCAAACCTACAACCTGGGTATGTGCCCTGACCAGAATCCAGCCCATGACCTTTTGGTGTATGGAATTACACTCCAAATGAGCCACACTGGCCTGGGCAAATCATAATATTTTTAATTGATCCTCTGTTATTGATTAGTCATTGCTTCTGATTTTTTGTTACTTTGATAAACATCTTTATAGCTAAGTTTTATCAATGACCTCTATCTCCTAGAATACATTCCCACAACCTATTGCTAGGTCAACAGACACTAGTAGCTTCTCAGGGTGCCTATTTGGCCCCAGGAAGGCATCATCTTACCCTGCTGGTGAGTATTTAACTTTGGAGTTATTTCTCTCATCCTAGGGCTGATATTTTTTTCCAATACTGTTTCTGCAATTGGCAACTTTTGCTTAAGTTGGGTTTAGTTATTTGGCAGTGGTCCCCTCGTGCTGTTGTTAAAAGTGGCTGATGTGCACTTACTCATAGGCCCACATGGTGTCTTCCCTTGATATCATGACTGCATGGCCATATCCACCTAGGTACAGAAAGTTAAAGAATCCAAGTCATGCTCAGCATCTTAATGTTGACCTAGAAATAGAACTAAACTATTTTTCTGGATCCAGTTCTGCTGTCAACTACAAGCATCTCAGGCAGCTTGAATTTTATTTATTTATTTATTTATTTATTTATTTATTTATTTATTTAATTTAAATTATTTTTTTAAATTTTTGTTCAAAATATTACTACAGATGTCCCTTTTTCTCCGCATTGACCCATTCCATCCCGCCCCAACCCCCTCCCCAGTCCCTCACCNCACATAAGTTCTCTCCCCCTCCACCCACCCACCCCCCTCCATCCCTCTGAGATTCGTCGGTCTGATCCATGCTTCCATGTCATTGAATCATTTCTGTTCATCAGTTTATTAAGTTCTTTAGATTCCACATATAAGTGAATTCATGTGATGTTTGTTTTTCTCTGCCTGGCTTATTTCGCTTAGCATAATATTCTCCTGGTCCTTCCATGCTACCCCAAATGGTACGAGATCCTTCTTCTTTACAGCTGCATAGTATTCCATGGTATAAATGTCTCACAGCTTTTTTATCTACTCATCTACTGATGGGCACTTGGGCTGTTTCCAGATCTTAGCTATTGTAAATTGCTGCAGCTTGAATTTAAATCTACCTCTACATCCTACACACGACCTAAATCCTAAAGGCTGTGTGTTCTCAGCAGCCACACAGGCGTTTCACCTTTAAGTCTCTCTTGATCAAACCAGATGTATTAGCATTGGTTCCAACTACCCTCATGGACGTTTAGTTGGGGCATTGAAGAGATAATTTCTCTATTGCTGGGAAACCCTCTTTTCTGTGTGCCTCTACCATTAAGCTCCTTCTCAGAATCCTAATATCCTTGCTGTTCAAGTACCAAGTGTTGTTCTAATACTGAAAAATAACATTCAGGACATTTCTTTTGCACAGTATGAATCAAGCATTCTTAATAAGTCCCCTCCATGCACTGGACCTTTGTAAATAACTACCCACTGAGTAGAACAACTACAGTGGTGTAAAGCATAGAGCTGTGTATAAAGCATGGGGCAATGGGTGCACAATGCAGTGTGCAGATGATGTTTTATTGAGTTGTACACTTGAAACCTGTGCGGTTTTACGAACCAATTTCACAGCAATAAATTCAATTTATAGAAAAGAAATTAAGAAAAATGAAAATAAATGCCAGCAAAAATTGGAGAGCACTGGAAACTGTAGGGAATGTTAAAATGCCTTTAAAGGCACATGGAAGAATGTCTTGGTCTCATGAAAAGCCATTGTGTAAGAGGTTTACAAGAGGATTCTTAACTTTTCAAAACAATTTACATCAAAATTAATGTGGAATAGTGTCTTCTTTAAGACATAACTTTGTTTATCCTTTGTTTTAAGCCTCAGTGCATAACAAGAGTACCTTCTAGACCTATATAGCAGATATCAGTAAATGCAAGTTGAATCAAGTTCAATTTCATTCCTTTCATAAAGTCAAGCATATATATATACACACACATTTATTTTTAAAACAACTTTATGAATTAATTAGGGCCTATAAAATGAGCCGACAAATGGGTTTCCACATCTCATGTTGATGGATTAGTTATGAGAGGTTAGTGGTGGAACATTATTTAAGAAGGATTCTGAGTCTCCATTTGGGATCAACAGGAAAGAGTGCCATGATCAACTAGCCATAGGACCAGGTGCATGGGGAGGAGCATAAGTGCCATTTATTTTTCTATTTGGTGACAGATACTAATAAGCCTGTCACAAAGAGCTGTTTTCTTCCTGTCTCAAGAGCTTGACTGTCTAGGATTGAATGCCAATTCTCTTCCACTTATTAGTTCCACAAGGCTAGGCAAGTCACTTAACCTCTCTCTGTTTTGATTTTCTTAACTGTAATTAGGAATAAAAATTGACCTACCTTACAGGATGTTAGTGAAAATGAAGGGAGTTATGTAAAGCATTATGAGCTATGCCAGGCACATAGCGTTTGAAGTCTCTTTAAGTGCGAGCCATTATTATTATTATTATTATTATTATTATTATTATACTGTATTTTATACTCCCCTACCATTGACTTGTGAAGGGTGGTTTACACTCTTCCCCTGGCCACATCTTCCTACTTTGTAAAATAGGCATAACAAAAGGACAAGAGAAGATGCAATGAACTAGAGTGTGGGAGGAATCTCTGCCGCCCATCCAATTCCCTGCAGGCAGGTAAATTTCAGAGACTCCCACTACACTGAACAAATCAGGGTAGGGTCAGACTAACTACTCTCACCCCCTCTTTTCTTTACAGGGAAGGTTTTCCCCATGGTTTATGGGGAAATCCAATAGAATTAGATGAGCAACTTGAATATAAATGCTGCATCAATTGCCACTGAATAATCAATAACCATGTATGACTGAACTCCCCAGAATGTTGCAAATAGTTTTTGTAAAATGTGTAGAAATGCTGTGAGGTCAGAGCCAGAAGATCCAGCACATGGTAGGACCTTTGACCTTAGCATCTACATTCGCTGAGTTTCTCCATGTGTAAAAATACCTTTCTTCACAATGTGGAGAAAGAACACTGCTAATTAAATGAAAGCACATATCTGAGAATGCTGTGAAAGCTCTCCCACACCATACAATTAATTGTAAGGTACAAAAGTACTCTTCTGATCTCACAAGGTGCAGGAAGGTGCTAGAAGGAAGAAAGATGGTCTGCGTTACTATCATGCTGTCATAGAACATGAAGCCACGCTGTAAGAGGCCCCTTTGTTTTTTACAACCCAAGAATGAATGAATTCTTGGATGAATTCTGTTCTGTAGCAAATAATGCCACAGGGATGCCACAGTATATTAATTTTGATTAATCATGCTTTTGCTGAGTAGTATTGTGATACACATAATCCGCTGGCTTGATTTTATTTACCCTTGATAGCTCCCCACTATTGTCTGTGTCCATAGGTTATGCATATATGCATATAACTTCTTTGGTTAATCTCTTCCCACCCTCCACCTCCCTTCCCTCTCTCTCTGAAATATGATCGTCTGTTGCATGTGTCAATGTCTCTGGATCTATTTAGTTAGTCAGATTATTTTGTTCATTAGCTTCTTCTTAAAGAAGACCCTTCAACATTTCATGTAGTACTGGTCTGGTGGTGATGAACTCCTTTAGCTTTCCCTTGTCTGAGAAGCTCTTTATCTGACCTTCAATTCTAAATGATAGCTTTGCTGGGTAGAGCAATCTTGGTTGTAGGTTCTCGTTTTTCATCACTTTGAATATTTCTTCCACTCCCTTCTGGCCTGCAAGGTTTCTGTTGAGAAATCAGCTGACAGTTGTATGGATGCTCCCTTGTAGGTAACTAACTGCTTTTCTCTTGCTGCTTTTAAGATTCTCTCTTTGTTTTTAACCTTTGGCATTTTAATTATGATGTGTCTTGCTGTGGGCCTCTGTGGGTTCCTCTTGTTTGGGACCCTCTCTGCTTCCTGGACTTGTAAGTCTATTTCTTTCCCCAGGTAGGGGAAGTTTTCTGTCTTTATTTTTTCAAATAGGTTTTCAATTTCTTGCTCTCTTTCTTCTCCTTCTGGCACTCACATAATATGAATGTTGGGCTGCTCAAAGTTGTCCCAGAGACTCCTTACACTGTTTTCATATTTCTGGATTCCTTTTTCTCTTTGTTCTTCTCTTTGGATGTTTTTTGTTTCCTCATATTCCAAATTGCCAATTTGATTCTCAATGTCCTCTACTCTACTGTTGATTCCCTGTAAATTATTCTTTATTTCAGTTTGTGTAGCCTTCATTTCAAATTGGTACTTTATTAAGTCATCGATGGTCTCACTTGTTTTCATAATAGTCTTACTAATATCCTTGAGCATCCTTAGAACTGTAATTCTGAACTCTGTATCTAGTAGCTTGCTTGGTTCTATTTTGTTTAGTTCCTTTTCTGGAGATTTCTTCTCTTTTTTCCTTTGTGACATGTTTCTTTGCCTCCACATTTTGGCTGCTTCCAAGTGTTTGTTTCTATGTATTAGGTAGAGCTGCTATGTCTCCTGGAATTTGTAGAGTAGGTGTAGTAGGTGTCCTGTAGGGTCCAGTGGCTCAGCCTCCCCAGTCACCTGAGCTGGGCCTTCTAGGTGCTCACCTGTGTGGGCTGTGTGCACTGTCCTGTTGTAGTTGATCCTTGGTTGCTGTTGGCATCACTGGGAGGAACTGGTCGAGTCTGACTGCCAGGTGCACTGTCTCTGGGGCCTCCTGGGAGGTGCAAAGTCAGCTTCTGCTTATACCTTGCCCAGGGCCACTCAACTTGAGCTACACAGCAAACCATAGATGGCTGCTACTTGTGCTGGGCTTAGAGATGTCCAGGAGAGGCCAAGCTATGAGCCAATGCAGGCTGCCACTAGTGCTAGGCCTGGGGCCACTTATCAAGCTGAATGGGCCATGCTGCTGTTTGTTTGAGAGATTTTAGGAAAGTCCTAAACATGAAGCTCGAGAGGCCACTTGCATAGAAAAGCCACTGGGAATGACTTGGATGATCCTGCAAGTAGGGAGGGGCAGGGCCTCTGGGAACCACCAGGGGGGGGCCAAAGGTGTGAGTCAAGTGCTGGCGATTCAAATATGGCGCCTGCCTGCCGGCTCTGTGGGGGAAGGACTCGCCAAAGGAGCAATGGCTTCCACCAGCTCTTCTGCCTGGGAGAAAGCTGCTCCTCCACCTCTCTCCCTGATTTTAGGCAAGTTAGTTCCTCCCCAAGTGTCCCAGGTTCCTTTCAAGCTGCTGCCCAGCTCTGGGGCTCAGAGGGAGCGCATCTGAGTGAGTCCGTGTGCGGGCCCTTTAAGAAGAGCTGCTGGGGTTCCCGCAGCCTCCGCATCCCTCAGTGACAGTCCCGGATGGTTTTCACAGCCCGAAGTTGTGGGGACTTCTCTTCCCAAGCCCTGGAGCCCTGGGCTGTGGGCCTGATATGGGGCTGGGACCCCTTACTCCTCCGGAAAACCTCCACCGCTGAGATTCCCTTTCAGGTTTAATCCTCAGCACCAGGTGTGGGCCCACTGCCCCGTCTCCACAATTCAACCCCGATCTGCCCACATCTCCACCCCTCCTACTGGTCTTGGTGCTTCTTCAGTTCCCTGGTTGTAGGGCTTCTGTTCAGCCAGATTTCAGGAAGTTCTGAGTGATGGTGGTTCTGTATTTTAGTTGTAATTTTGATGTGGTTGTGGGAGGTGGCAGGTGCAGCTGTTACCTATGCCACCATCTTGTTTTTCCTCCAATAAAATTTATTTTTTAAAAAAGAAAGTTCACAGGTTGTGGCAGAGATTCCCAACCAGTGTGCCTTGAATTAGCAAATGATGGAGGGAGATGCTGGGCCCCAGGACCAGTTGCCCCCAGCCTCCACTCTGCTCCCTTACAAACAACATCATTTTCTGTTGTTCCTTGCACCAAAGGAGGTCGGGAGCACAGTCCAATGGCATAGGGTGTATATAGTATATTTCACAATCTCTGTCTCCTTTCATTCTCCCAGCCATTATTTACCCCTCACTTCACAAACAAGGAACCTAGAGTTAGAGAGAGGGTATGGAACATTTCAAGGTCATGGAAAATAATTAGAAGAGCCAGGAGAAGTTCCCAGGCCTTCTCTTCTTTCTCTTCTGATCACTCTAGAATTGATGGCATATTTTATCCCAGTGGTACATGAAATTCTTAATGTCATATCATTCAAGGCAAACAGTCTGGTGCTTAAATGACACAAATAGGTTCTTCAAAATTAATAATTTTTATATTCTCTGAACCTCAGTCACCTCTTCTGTACAGATATCCTTCATACTGTGACACAAAAAGCCCCCTTGATAACCCAAAAGATTAACACAGCAAACTTGAATTTCCAAAATCATGATTTCAGGAAAATCATTTTCTTGAGTTCTTTTTGATTTTATAAAGTTTCAACCCATAATTTCTAAAGGAAACCATTTAGAGAGACAACACTAAGGAACAAGAAAAATAAAATAAAAAATGATAAATCAGGACCTCTCGACCCCAATCCTAGCATCACATACTTAGCAACACATTTTTATATAGAAGGAAAGATGGTTTCTTTTTTTTCCAATATTGTCTTTCTCTTTTTTTCCCCAATAGAACTCAAAGAGACTTCTTCATCACAAACTCCGTCTAATCTTAATGCAAGGTAATAGTTTTCTTTTTGGGTAAATCAGGTGGCAATTCAAGCTTAGGGATGGTGTTTCAGGAGCCTTTAGCTTTCCAAAGACTGGGAATGGAGGAAGGAGAAGGGGGTGCAGGGAGCAGGTCCCCTGAGAAAGGAGGGGTTCGATTGGGATGAGGTCTCCTGGAAGTCACACACAAGGACCTCCCAGTACTGCTCCCCTCTGCCCCTCAGTCACTCAGAGAGGGAGGGACAGGTACCAAAATCAGAGTCCTGGCACCCAGAACTACAGAGGTTAAAGGGCAGGGGGACTGAGTATGAACTGGACAAAGAGAGCAAAGGGCCTACGGGCAGCGCCTGTGGTGAGTAGATGAATGAATGCCCGAAAAGAAGTTGCAGTCTTCTGTGTTCGGGCATAGTCCCAAGGTCTAAATGACCATTCAGCGAGTATTCATTAAACTGCCACAGGGTTTAGCACACACTAGATGATCAATAATATACCTATGGAATAAATGATAAAAATACCTTAAATGTGTTCAGCTCTCTAGAAACCAGTGTGGGGGGGTACAAGACTTCTGATTCACAGTCGTTGTCCTAGAGTCTCGGCCCCTACAATCCCTTCCCAAGGAATGCTTATTTATCTCCACTTGGGAAGTGGGTTGACACTAGATACAAAGAAAGCACAAGGCCAGTTTGGTTATGGTGAGAAGCAGGACTAAAATCCCAGTGCTGCAGCACTGGGAAGCAACAGGTTACAACTTGAGGGCACAGGGCTCCACTTGGGTACCCCTCAGCTTAGCAAGGCCAACCCCCTCTTCTCCTCTCCACTGGCTCCATCCCATGCTTCACACCTCCAGAGGTGCAGAAACATGGCTCCGACAGGATGGCCCTCACTAAGGCAATGTGTAAAAGGGAGTGGCTTTTCAAAGGCCCCAAGGCCTCAGTTGCTGACACTTACAGACTATTAAGCAACATGGCAATGAAAGGGCCTGACGGTGGGAAGGCTGTGATGAGAACAGGAACTCCAGAGCCTGGGTTTGAACCTCAGCTTCTCCACCCAGCCAGCTGCATACCACAGGGCAACCACTTAATGTCCCTGTGCCTGTGCCTCGGTTTCCTTATCTGTAACATGGCTACAGTAAGTTTCAGCCTCAAGGACTGTAGTGAAAATTAAATGAGTATTAACTCATGAGACCCACTGAGAACAGTGGTCAGCACTCAGGGCAGACTCAGTAAGTGCTGAGGACCATTTTTGTTCACAGTTCTGCCCTCCACGAGCCCACATGGAAACTTAGCGGGCCCAGAATGAAGATCGTGATTCCTGGTCAACTTTACTCCAAACACACCCACCCCTCTTATCCTGTTTTCAAAGTTTAGTCGAGTGGGTTTTCTGTGCCCAGGGCTCTAAGGAAAATGTGGTCCCAGGGCTTTACCTGGGTCTGTCCATGTGCTCTTTGGCTTATGCCCCCAGAGTCCAGGTCTGAACCTTGGGGTGCTCAGACAAACCCTAGATTTTTCTCACACAAGGTTGCTGAGAGAATGAACCTTCCATAAACCCCTTTAGGCAAGAAGTGTTACTCTCATGCTTGTTAAGGTAGGGGGTGAGGAAGGGGATCAGATTCAAGTCAAGCGTTTCATGGGTCCCTTATAAACAGGAAGGTTCCCTCTCCCACTCCACACACAAGCTCTGAAGATCCCCCAAGCACATGCCAGACCCCTTCCACACTCTGAAGTGGCTGCAGAAAATAACCTGGAACCGTCAATGCTCCCTGGGATCCAGGGTCCAATGGGTCCTCCTCGTCCTTGCCTCATTGGGTATAAGCCAGGAAACTGGTGTTTGGCCCAGGTCAGTGGGTGCTGCAGCCACAGTGGAGCCCTGGCAGGAGCCCCAGAAGGCCCTGCAACATCCCAGACTGAGGCAGTCATGGCAGGGAGGGTGCTAAGCAAATGTACACAAAGATGTAGATGACCAGAGCGGTCCACTATTGCCTTAAGTATAATCCCTGTGTTGTTTTGTAGCTTTGACCTCTCAAGTTCCTTTCATGGCGATTTCCATTATCTCCTTGGGTATCAGTGGGCACCTGGTGAGTGAGGTAGGACAGCTATTATCCCACAAGAAGGATAAAGCCCAGGGGAGGCTCCTGATCTGGCCTTGAAGCCTGGAGCAGCGTAAGAGTTGGCACTTGCCTAAAGAGCTCACCTGTGTCCACTAGTTCTTGATCCCTGCGGTCACCTGACTAGGACCCAAGCATCTTGCTGGTTGACCCTGGGACCCTTTTCAATGGTACATCCTGGGAACAGCTGCTCTGCTCCAGCCCACTGGCTGGCACAGACCCAGGGCCACCCACAGGGCCCTTGAAGTGGCACAAGACCTGCCTGTAACACCCACAGACGCTGAAAGAGAACAGCTTTCTGGTGGTGTCCCATGGCTAGAAAGAGCAGCTTCCTCCTCTCTCCCTCAACCTCTTCACTAGCACCTTCGGACTGTAGCTCCTGCCTCCCTCCCTGTTCCTGCATCTGGGAACCCTGACCCAGGAAGGGAAGGGCCTGTCTCAGGAAGGACTACTGAACTTCTGACTTCCCCTTTGAGAATAACAGTAGCCAATATTGCCCCACCCTGGTTTTGGCCTCACCTGTGGGGATCTATGTGGGTGGTTTGATATTCAAAAGGATGCTAAAACACAAGTTAACTCACCCAGAGTTACTCCACTATCATGCAAGAGCCAAGACTTAAGCAGGAACCATCTGACATCAAAGTCCATGTTTTTTCTACCAACCATAGTTACCACCCATTTATATGTTGGGTATTTTTCCTCACAACTCCTGGGCCGGTTTACACGAGATGACTTCAGGGCCAAAGTACCCCAAAGACCCTTCTCATTCCTTTGAATTAAGTTTCTTGCCCCCAGTTAAAAGTGAGAGATTCCCGAGGAAGGACACAGTGTGGGTCAGGGCCTGTGACTCACACCCTAACAGCCTGCCATCAGGCCCTGCAGAAATCTTTTTCGATGATGGTGGTGTTTGTAGTTGGCAGGCTAGAGAGGCCAGACCTCGGTGCTTGATTTTAAACTACTGCAACATCTACTTTGGTATTTTTTTTCTACTGTGCCTGAGGCAGCTGTGGAGCAGGAAGGGCAACTGGAATAATCAGGGTAATGAGCGAGAAAGGACAGGGAATGTTCTGGAACATTGGACTGTTAGTTATCAAAGCCTGGCCCATTGACCTTTGAAGGCACCCTTAGATTTTTCACTGTAAGTAAAGCAGCAGTTGGCAGCATGGGGCTCAGTTGTAGTTGGCAGGCTAGAGAGGCCAGACCTTAGTGCTTGATTTTAAACTACTGCAACATCTACTTTGGTTGTTTTTTTTCTACTATGCCTGAAGCAGCTGTGAAGCTGTGACCAAAATGGTACCCAGGCCTATTTTCCATGATCCACAGTCTGGTCACTTCTATCCTGCAACATCCACCATCTAGGATGGGCAGAAATCAGCAGTGCCACCCAACTTCCCAGCAGGCCGTAGCACTGGGTTCCTACCTGGCCCCTGTTTGGAAGTTGACTGAACCCTGTGCTCCCCTCTGACAGAAGCCCAGCTGCTGGCGTCTCTCAGGTGACTACCCTCCTCACTGTCCATCCTCCCATCTCTGAACTTGCCAGCAAATCTTCTTACTACGACACAAAGTCTTCCACATCCTTCACAAGGGATGCTGGAGGATCTCCGTCCTGGCAAGACCAGAGCACGCAGACGGAGCACGTCTACGGGACCAAGGGTAAGGGAAACCGAGCCTGTGGTCCATCCCACAGCTGGGCGCTCTGGGGGCTGGGGGAAGAATGCATTCCATGCCTGTGAAGCATCGGGGCTCAAGTATTATTACTCATGCTAATGATATATACTGCTGCCTGTGACATTTGAAGTTGTATTTTGGGTTTTGGGTAAGAATTAAACTCTTCTACTAGTTGCTACAGCCTTCCTCCATCTCATACCCCTCTCAGAGAAAGAGCGTCAACAAAGTCCTGAGACAATTTCCTTCTTCAGTCCTTCCCTGTCTCTTCGTTAGTCTTCCTGTTCTTGTTCTGCGTGAACACAGGCCCCATTTCCCTCGCAAACGCAGGCCATTTCCTCCCCAGATTACAGAGCGGTCTGCTGAGGTGATAGGCCATATCCAGATATTCATGTGGACAGTGGGGAATGCAACTCAGGCCCACCCCAGCTCTGCAACGGCATGCAGTTAAAGGCAGCCCCGATTCAAGAACAGCCAAACCATCCTAGTGTGAACTTTTGTGGCCACAACTGGGAGACGTGCAAGGAAAGTTCGGCAAGGTCGCAGTGATCAGATAGCTTAATCCTCTACCCAGTTAAGCCCAAAGGCCCCTCACTCTAGGATCCTGGGATGGAACATTGAACAGCATCTCTCGCCATTTTTAATAATTTAAACCCAGCCTTGGTGAGATTGATCCATCACGGGTTCACAGATTCATTTCACATCTGTAGTCATGGCAGCAGTAAATTAGATTTCCCCATCACCTCACTTCCCTGCCCCCATCTGTGCCGGCTAAATTTTATAGCTCAAGTGTGATTAAATGAAATTAGGAGCCAGAAACCCCATGAGGGAGAATGGAGACGCAAAGGGCAGCCCACAGAAGCCAGAGTTCGGTGAAGCAGACAGCATACAATAAGGAGTGTTTTACAGGCCAAATCAGGTCATGCCGGACCTTTGTCAGCATGTGTGTTCTGATGGGGCCCCAAGAACTGGAGTCATTTCAAAGTCAGTAAGCATGACGGCTGGGGAAAACCTGAGCATTTCTCTAAAATATTCATAAGCAGGATTCCGAAAGTCATTTACAGGGTAATCGCCTGTAAAGTGCCAATGCTAAGCTTGAAAAGATGTGGGAGAGGAGAAAGATAGGAGAAGGTTGGGGTGTGGGAAGGGGGCACCAGGGCCTGTCCATACCTCTGTGGACCCACCTCCAGAAAGAGGCCCCCTGGAAATCGTTTTATTTGACCTGTTCATTCATGATCCTTTTGGTTTCTAAGCTTAATTTACAGAATTAGTCATGCCTGTATCTAACAAGTTTAAAGCACTCTGCATAATTTGGTCTGTGGGGGCATGTTTTACTGTTGTCTTTCCAGTATTGAGTTCCTAATGCCAACATATGTTTTGTGTTTAGTAAAAGTCTAGCCACCACCATAAATGCTTACTGGTCAAATACTGTGGAGTGGGTGGTCTGGACCAAAGGTATGGACTGTATTGGAGCCTCTAAATCAGGATCAATGACACACCCCAGGTTCCTGCAATTATGTGAGGCGATGATCGTTACAGTAAAGATTGAAACACAAGGAAGAGCAAGCAATTTCCTAAAATTCATGGAGGTTTTTTCTTTTCCCTTAAGCCTATGGTTTATAACCTAACTTTCTGGAGAACATTGGTAATAATTGGGAAAAACTTGCCAGTAATAGGTACATGATTATATCTGGCCAAAGGAATGGAGCAAATATGTAACAAAAAAGCTTCTCTGAGAAGATGAATAGTTTCCAGACAAAGTGACAGAGGTGCAGGTGGAAGCCAGGAAATGTGAAGCTCCAGGAAGGTGGGAGAGCTCAAAACCTTTCAAGAGGGAGAAAGGAAAGTGACACAGGGCAGAGGATCTGTGGGTGGTGGAGGCTTAGCCCATGCCAAGAAAGAAAGCCAGCCCTTTGCAGCTGGAGTACAGAACACGAAGCATTCCCCAGCGTGGCAGATGCAAAAAAAAAAGAAAAAAAGCTACTTTCAGACCATGGCAGAAGCCACTCATCCTCTTGTTGCAGAAACACAGACAATCAAGATAAAAGCAACCCAAAGAGCTAGTCATTTGGGGTCGAGGGCCAGCAGGAGCAAGCAGAGGTGACAGCAGGTTTCGACACTGCTGATCTACAGGGTCCAAGACTATGCATCCCTCTGCTGGGAACCTGTATAGAGGCACATTCCCAGCCTCCTCTATCAGGATCCCTGCTTGCATTCTTAGCATTACCCCCAGAGGATTCTCAGGTGCAGGGATGTTGGAGAATCGCAGACCTCAAGCACAGGATGAATGTAATGGGTACGAGGTTCCTACTTTTAAAACATTTTTTATTATGAGATTGTTCAATCCCAAAAAGTTAATATAACCAAATATAATTAAAATATCTTATAAAAATGGATTAGTCCTACTCTAGCCTGCACTGAGGGTCAGCCCAGGGACAGTGTTCCCTCTGAGAGCTACCACACTCTATAAGGGACAGAAGCAGACTGGTGGGATTTGGAGGAGAGGCTGGTGTTAGGCAGACCAGGAGACTACACCATACAAAGAACTGTTGAAGCAGAGGAGGTGTTAATTCTGGAAGACACGTGTCTCTGAGATGGCGCAACTGCCTTCGAATACCTGATGATCAGCCATACAAAACCGAGACCTCTCCATTTGCATTGAAGGGCTAACATAGGACTAGCTTCAGGGAAATATATTAAGAACTTCTTCCTAACAGCGAAAGCCATGCCATGAAGAAATGAGTTGGAAAGCTCCTTGTCTTTAGAGGGCTCAGAAGAACTAGTAGGCAGTGACACTGCACATGTGCAGAAGGTCCAGGCACTGCCCACCAGGTCAAATTCTGATACTCCCAAGAGCAGATGGAGCAGTTTGCTTCTACTTTTTCTTCATGGGCCTGCTCCTCTCTACTATTAAGCATGGAACCTAGAGTGTGTGCACATATGTACATGCACACGTGTGCACGCATATGTTTAAGAGTAGGAAGAGGGATAGGTGAGGATGGGGGAGGCAAAAAAGAGTGAAGACTACAAAATTCCAGAAGACATAAAGTAAGCATCACCAAGAACTTATAAAAGTTCTCAAAAAACTACAGTAGTCTCCCATTGTGTATCTTACTGGATCTATACTAGACAGCCCGTGTTTCCAGCCAGCCCCCATTATGCACCTCTTGGAGAGCAAGAACACCAGAAACACCCACTTCCTACAGTGATAACCATACCCCATTACTTATCTACATGGTCTTGGAGCCACTTGGCTCTATGGTTCTAGAGCTACAAGGTGCACCCCCAATCCATCATGCTATCTATCCTGGGGACCCTTACTGGCCCCATGGTGACCAGAGGAGAAAGCCACAGAGGGGCTACATTTCATGACCACTGGTTCACTGCAGTCCTAGGAAAGAGGAGGAGGGCAGAGGGAGCATACAGTATATACCAGCAGTCCCCTCCAGTCCGTTCCTCCCCTCTGTTGATCAACCTTGGGTGCCAGGAAAGAACATCAGACCCTAAATGTCCGATATGAGCCCACTGGGAAGTGTGTAGTTAAAATCATTAATGGCCACCTTATTCTCTCTTTTAACAGCACCTTCAAAATTGAAACTAAAAATAGAGCAAGAAGCCTCAACAATTATAATACCCCCCTTAAAATTGGATTCAGAAGGTATCATTTTAATTTTATAATTTGATGATGATTTTAAATGACTTGCAGAAGTTACAAAACCATCCACAAGAAGGTAAGAAGCACAGAATTATCAGGCCCCCAGCCAAAGAGAGCCCTCTTTTGACCATTTTAGACTAGAGCAGCCTAATTAAGGCCTGTGACCAAGACATTACTTCCAAGGCTTGGTGTCAAGGCTCAAGGGTCAGGTAAGAAGCTGAGCCAAAGGGTAAAGTGCTTTAAATTTGAATTAACATTGAATCCTGAAAGGGGAGAAAACAGTATTTACCAGTGGGGTTAAGAGGGAAGATAATGGGATATCCATACTCAGTTCATCCCATGACATTTACTGTATGCCTACTGACATTTATTGTATACCTACTGTATACTGAGCAGGATATAAAGATGAACAAACCCATCATACCCTCTCAGAACTTAAATTCTAATGGGCAAGATGAAATATGAACAAAGGGAGAGGAATAAATATTTATTGAGCATAAGCTTCAGGCCTCAAACTGCTAAAGATCATGTAAGCTTCTTATCCCCAAACACATAATCTCCACCCTGGTCTTCCCAGCCATTTAGGAAGTGAGGTAATTTTAAATTGATTTCTTCAGGTATCCAAAGGTCAGGACTAGTTCACCATATCACATTCTATTAATAATATTTCTTGTTCTTTCTTGTTGCTGTCATTAATCCTCACCCAAAGATAATTTTTCCATTGATTTTTCAGAGAGAGTGGAGGGGGGAGGGGGAGAGAGAGAGAGAGAGAGAGAGAGAAACATTGATGTGAGAAAGACACATCAATTGGTTGCCTCCCAGACACGCCCTGACCAGGGCCGGAGTAGAACCTGCAATCCAAGTACATGCCCTTGACCTGGAATCGAACCCACAACCCCTTAGTCCGCAGGTTGATGCTCTAACCACTACGCCAGCCAGAGCAATTTTTCCTGTTCTTTTTCAGAGTGTTCTATGCCTGAAGTGCTGCAACAGGAAAAAAATGGTGAGAGTCCCACAAAACATCCAAAGATCTCTGCTCTCCGCACAGCATCTGGGGATGATGCCCCGGGTGGTGGGGGCCCAGCAAGTCCAGGCTGGACCAAGTCCTAGAGAGGACCTAGGGATATGCTGGGCACACAGCCCCAGGACCTGGATGTGCTTTCCTGTCCTTTCTTGAAGAAGGGGTATAGATCAAGAAACAGAGGGAGGGTCTCTGGAGCAACACAGAATGACCTGGGATAGGACAAAAAGTCCATCTCTCTACTCAAGCTCTGGTATAGTGACTCCCACATTTAAAGAGGGTCTAGTAGGTGGCTGGGTTCCCTGAGATCTGGGCAGCAGGAGCTGACTGGGATGCATAGGCTCCTCAAGAGAGCTCACCTGATGACACCTTGGTAGGGGATAAATTGGAGCCCCTACACATGGTCCCCTTAAAGGCTAACTACATTTTTATTAAGGGGGGGTTAGTTGAATCTTATGAGGGGGAAGAGCAAGGGAGAATCCTTATGGTAGTAGAATCCCAACTTGAATACATCACTTCACAAAGCAAAAGCCCTGCAATTAACCAAGCCATTCTATTAGACAATAATTTAGGGACTGTGTTCTGTTGTCTTGGAGCATGGTGGGCTCTGGGGAGAGGATCAGGGCTTTCATCCTGATACAAGTGGCTTGTCAAACAAACTCTATCAAACTCTAGACTGTGCATTCCAGCCCCCACCCTTCTGCCCCTAGAAGGGTACTGATAAGTATAATTTATTTTATTCCATTTCCAGTTGGGGAGGGTGTTAAGAGCTGTGTTGCTCAGACTTTAATGTGTAGAGAAAGAACCAGGGATCTTGTTAAAATGCAGATTCTAACTCAGTAGGTCTGAGATCCTGCATTTCTCACAAACACCAGCAGCAGCTACTGCTGCTGATCCACAGACCACACATTGAGTAGCAAGGTTTTAGAACAGCTTATAGATTTATGCCCTTAGCAACCAACAGACCAACCCATCCCTTGGCCCACCTGTCTAAGATAACAAGGAATTCACTTCATGAAAGGTAGAGGAGGTTGAAAAGACCACTGACTTGCAGAGCTGGGCTGCTCATTCCTTGGAGCAAGCACCAGGCTGGTCATTCATTGCTATTCCCCACCCTAATCTCATCTATAACTGGGGATCTGCCCTGCAGAGAAAACATGCATGGCCCCAACAGCTCTCCCAGACTCAGGAACTGCAGTTCAATCAAGAAAAACATTAGAGGACAGACATTGATTGATTGGATGGGGGGGAGTTAAGATTTGTTCTTAATCAGACATCGGGAAGACACACTCAACTTTGGGGAATCCTATATGCCAGGCACTTCCCTATATTAGCACTCCTCTTCTGAGCCACCCTGAAGATGAGGCTTCTTGTCCCCATCTCACAGATGAGGGGAGTAGAGTAGAAAGGGCTGTGTGACATGCTGGGCCTCCCTGACAGGCTGACACTCCCCACCTCACCTCACCAGTCGACCCTTACAGCAAGTTCAGGAGAAGATAATGATCTCACACCAACAAAGGCAGGGGTTGACGAAAATCCCCAAAGGGAAAGTTAATTAGGAATAAGTTTTTCCTTCTCATTCAGGCCCAGATATGCTTGTGTGACTGTGTACTTACTGTTCTTGTCTTGGCAGGTAGACAGTGCCATTAATGTTAATAAGGTTAATTATTATGTCGAATCAGATGCTTGTGAACACTGCTGTTCAATATTCAGGGCTGCCAAGCCACCTCTTCCCTTGATAGTATTCAATAAAGCCTGTTAAAGTAAGGCAAGCACAAATGCTGGGGATTGGCCAAGCTCTCAGGGCCAGGGCCAGACTCTTATTCTCAGCCTAAGGCAGCAACACTCAGAAACTGTTACCTGGAGGTGCTGCCACTCAGTCCCTGCAGCTCCTCTTGTCTCCTTTTCGATAACAACCAAAAGGAGCTCCCTGAGTGTTTACTTGAATTCCCATGGGTTCTTGTTGGTCTTTCCTGAGTGGCTTTTTAAAACTTCTCTTGGCTGTGTCCATGGCAGACAGTTGGAGGACACTCAGTGTTTTTGGAATGGAGCTGAAAGAGGCCTTGCCTTTGCCAGTTGTCAGTACTGCAGTGTGATGGTGTGTGCCTGTGGGAACTACAGAAAAGAACTGCTGAGGGGACTCTCTAGCCTGGGGTCCACCGCAGATGGGCAGGTTTCTGCCAGAAATAAACCAAAGCTGGCGCAGGAGGTCTGTAGGCAGAAAGGCCCCTGAGCCTAGTGTGGATACAGGCAGTTCTAGCTGAGTGAATTCTCCACCCACCAGGAGCCCCATGGAGTCAGATTTATTACTGAACCAAAATTGGGAAGAAGGACAAAAATAGCATGTGGATCACAGAGAACGTCCCTTCTCCACCTCCAAAGAGCAGAAAAAAAATGAGTCACCTTTGTGCTAGCCGGTGGGTGCTCAGGCCTATCTGGATGGCCCAGCTTGAAGGGGCCAGTGTCACTCTGAAGCTGAGGCAACAGGCCCCATAATCTCCCTGGGGGCCCAATTATCAGTAAGAGCCCTTCCTCCCAGCTCTCCCTCAGGATCCACACTTTCCCAGGAGCAGGGAAGCAAGACCCAAGTTGTAATGACCAATTCCTTGATTCAGTTTGCACCCCTTCTACACTGGAGGCTTGAAGCCGCTTTCCTGGCCTGAAGAGTCACCAGGCCGTGGCTGACCTTGAGAACAAAGGTATTCACGATCTCCAATAGATTTTTTTTCAGCTCCCTGGCTCAGGGATTCGCTTCTTATGCTTTAATTTGCAATTATGAACCATACACAATTCCAGAAACTGACAATTTTTGACAAAACTGGGAGGACATAGGAATATTTCTCAGGATTTCCAAGAGAAAATCACACTCAGAATAAATCTCTCTCAGAATAAAATCTAAAATCCCTCAGCCTACAAGGTCCTGGGTGAGCTGGCCCTGCCCCTTCCCCCTTCTCCCCTCCAGCTGCCCTACTTCATGCTCACTCCTCTCCAGGCATACTGTGCCTCTTGAAGTTTGTCAAATATGTCACCCACACTCTCACTCATTTTCACCTCGGGGCCTTTGTAACTGCTAGCCTCCTGGCAGGAATGCTCTTCCCTGGCTGCCTGCCTGCGCGCTCCCTTCATTCAGGACTCACTCAAATATCCCTTTGTCAAATAAACCTTCACCAGCACCAGGAACAAACACGCACTTTCTTAAGTCAGCCACTGAAACTTACCCTTTTGTTCCTATTTTATTAATATCTTCGAGTTGAATTTTAGGAAATATGATGAATTTATTTAAAGTCTTATTGATGATGTTTGTATTTTTATTTAAAAGGGCAAGAGAAAATGTAAATCTATTTCCCTTTTTGTTTCTGTTTTTGTTTTGGTGCCTTTTCCAAACGTCTTTCCTTTTGCTGTGCCTTCCAAAAGCAAAAGCCGTGAAGATCGTCTCTCAGAGAAAACTTTGGGATAGTATATTAAATGAGCCTACTGACACAGTGGAAGTCAAGGGACTCAAAGACAGTGTAAGTTGGATGAAAGCTTGAAACCACTTTGCTTCTGTGTTGGGGCAGGTGGCCCGAGGCCAGCTGGCACTGCCTCATGAGCCCTGGAATTCATAGCTTCACTCTGTTGTTAGCACAGCCCAAATGAGCTTTTCTTATAACAGACATAAATTTAAATGACACACATTCAATCAAAGAAGGTCTTAGAAAGCCAAATGTAGCACCCTAGGACCCAAATTTCAGAGCACCCTGCTGGTAATATGAACAAACACCCTCAAGACTGCTTTTGAACCCTGCTCACACGGCTCAGTTGGTTCGAGCATCGTCCCATACACCAAAAGGTAGTGGGTTTGATTCCCAGTCAGGGCACATGCCTAGGTTTTGGGTTCGATCTCTGGTCGGGGCACATACGGGAGGCAACCGATCGATGTTTCTCTCTATCTCTCTCTCTTCCTCACTCTCTGAAATCAGTAAAAACATATATTCTGATGAGGATTTCTTAAAAAGATTCCTTTTGAAGGCAGGAAAGCCCAAACATGCAAGTCATCTAGATCTCAAGGTAAATCATTCTGTGTAGAAACCCTTTGTAAAAATGAAGTTAGGTTCTGGAAAGATGGACTAGATGTACTTTTCCCACTAAGTACAGCTTAAAACCCTAGACATTACATATAAAATAAACATAAGAAGCTTCTGAAAGGCAGAGAAAAGGCTGACCGGCTAGGGACCTGGGGACTTCAGGAACAACATGCAAGCTAGTTTCCTGAGTTTTATTTTTGCTTCACATGTCCCTGACTGAGCGCCAGCAAAGACAGCAACCCAGAAACTCCAACAAGCACGGTAAAACCCCCAAGGAAAGCCTACTGTCTCTAACCAAAGGGCCAGGCATGGGGCAGCCTAGCAAGGTAGACTTTAGACGACCACCTCTGCAAGCAAATACCACAACAAACAGCGGTGAACCACCTCCCCAGATCTGTGGTCCTGCTAACACCACCCTTCAGAGAGGCACAGAATGAGACCCGGAGAGTCAACAGGCGTCCTTTCCCCAGCTGTACCCAGTAACCAGAGATGAGATGGGAAGTCATAATAGATTGAATAAGCCTTACATCTATATGTGGTATTGTCTTTACTGCGTGAATTCCTTCCCTGCTGGTACAGCATAGTGGCTCTAATTTCCTGTAAAACCTCCGTTGATTCAGGTAGAAGCATTATTATGTGTCCTCTCCACTATGGTAAGAAACTTCTCAGGATTGTAGGTACTAACTACAGTCACAAGACTGAAATCATGTATCCCTGGGACTCAATATTAAGCAGATATATTTTTCTATACTTACAAAAGAAAAGGCAAAAATAGAAAAAAAAACTAAGATTTTTTTTTTAATTGGGAAATTTTCTAGTCTCAGTTCATATTTAGCCATAAATTCCTTGCTTTCCACACTTACTTCTATACATATTACAAGGTGGGGCAAAAGTAGGTTTATTGTTGTGAGTATACAAAACACAGAGTGTATTCTTGTATGATTATTTATTAATTATTGTATTATTTTTCATATGAGCTATAAACCTACTTTTGCCCCACCTTGTGTATTAATAAAAATTGCTTTTCAAATACTGAAAAACCATATCCAAGGGAGAGAAAAGATTGCTTGACCTTAGACTCACTGCACTGGATTTACTAAGACAGGAAAGTAAGTTCAGGTATTTTAGAAACACTTTTCAGGAAGAGTTGAAATCTAAAGGAATTGTTTGAATTAGAAACTGGAATTATTCAGAAACCTTCGGCATGCCTGCCCATTGAGGTTTTGCTGTGGGCAGAGCTGCGGTCACAGGCGACTGAGACATCTCCCGTGTAGCTGTGTGAGCCTCTGGATGTGAGGGCTCCCTGCGACAGGTGAGCTGTGCAGGCCAGCTCCAGTCACAAGCACCTTGTCTGGTCATCTCAGGGGCTTGGCCTTGGTGATAGAGTATGGCAGAGAGCTGGGAGATACGCTCCCCCTGCTTCTATACCACCCTGCCCCCAAGGGTCAGAAGCTTAGGAGGACACTGAGGCACAACCCGTGTCCCCGATGCTGGCACTCTCATGATAGGCAGCTATACACCTTGGCAAAGCAGTACTTCTCCAAGCAATGTCGTCAGCAGCAGATGCTGACAAGCGGTTCCAGAGCAGGACAGGAAGAATGGAATGAATGCCACAGGCTACCTACAGCTGAGAGACTTTTGAGGCCCCTATGGGGGGATACCAGAAACCACTAGGGTACAAACTAGGGAGAAGGAGTTGAAGTCTTCCCATTTGGATCAGGGCTATCAACAGATACCTCGGTTATTCTTTTTTCTTTTTTTAATATATCTTTATTGATTTCAGAGAGAGGAAAGGAAAGGGAGAGAGAGAGAGATAGAAACATCAACGACGAGAGAGTCACTGATCCAGGNATTGATTTCAGAGAGAGGAAAGGAAAGGGAGAGAGAGAGAGAAACATCAACGACGAGAGAGTCACTGATCCAGGCGCAACCCAGGCATGTGCCCTGACCGGGAATCGAACCCCGATCGCCTGGATCCTAGGTCGATGCTTAACTGCTGAGCCACGCCCGGCTGGGCTCGGTTATTCTAACAATTTAATTCCTTTGCTGTTCTTGGTTCGCTTTTCTTGTTTTACTTCTATGACCACCCATGCATCACAAACTCTGCTATGCAAATTCTTTTGGTTACAAGAACCAGAGATTCACCCAGGAGGAGTCTCTGGGCATGAGAGAATTCATCCCTGGGGTGCCCGATACACCTACTGTGACGATGAGGATAGTTCTACTAGGCTGGGGAATCAAATGAGACAAACCTCACAAGGTGTCACATGTACTGGCTGAATCAAGTGGGATGACGCAGCCTAGATGCGACGAAAACTTCAAGTAGGCCCTCACATGGGTCTGTTGTCTGGTGGACTACATTGAGCACTGTATTCTCTGGTGAACAAAACATAGAATCCAAAGAGGATGGTGAGAGATCACCAGCCTGGGCAAATAGGAAATTGTTCCACCTAAGAGCAGGATTGTTAATAGTGAGGAATTTAGAAGCAAGATACCACTTAACCTCAACCTGGCTTGAAACACTGATTCCAGTGTTAAAATGTAAACTGAGGTATATTAAACATTTTGAGAGTTTATCTGAGCATATATCAATTAGAATTGGTCATCATCAAACCAGAAGTGGTTAAGAATGCTCCACTGACAGGAGCTCGGGAGATACTTTTATAGAAAAAAGGCAGAAGCAAAACAAGGAAATTATTGATTGGCGACAGCTTAAAGCTGGCTGGCTGCTTGTGATTGGTTGTCCTTAGGATTTGATTTTTTAACCTTGAGGCATTGAGAGGCTTAGATTTGGGTTGTTTATGCAGGCCACCACAAGCTCAGAGATACCCCAAGCTAATGGCCTCCTTGTTTAATTAATTTAACACCGGCAATAAGCAAGGGAGCAAGACAGAGACTCAGAATCAGACAAGCTAGACCTGAGGCATCCCAGCTTTCCCCACAACGTAGAAAAACTGGCCAAACACAACTTTCATTCTTATATCTGTCCCAGGTCACATGTGACTCTAAATATGTCGGCCTTCCACTTACTATTAAAAACCAATAAGTTAATGGCATATTATACATTATCAGATGCTGAACAACAATAATGACAACCTCAGCTTGTAGGTGTGCAGGGCAAAATGACAGAACCATAGATTTCCTCAGTAGCAAGCCAACTTCCATCTTCTAGCAAAAGGGATCCAAAAAAAAAGAAACTCTTCTTATGCCCTGTTTCAGGAAAGCACCGAGGAGGCTGTTTGGAAAAAGGGTTTAAAGAAGAAAACGCCTGCCACCTGTGCTGCCTTAAAGAATTGCAATTAGGTTTTCAGTCCCCGGTTTCCTTGGGCCCCCATAAGTGTGTAATTAATGCATAATCTCGCCCTCACGTTGCAGCTCCTGCGTTCCAGAGCCGGGTATTTTTTAATGCTCACTTGAGTGTACAGCAAATAAAGTTTTAAAATAAAAAAAAAAGACCCACCTATGGGGTCAGTCCTGGTCAGCATCATGGACTTGGGATAGAATGATCAATTTTACAAAATAAAAAAGGCAGCTTGCAATGTAATTACTTTGGAAGAATCTTTAAACTCAGAATTACCCACTGCAATAACATGCCATGTGCTACATTGCTTTCCTGAAGACTGTCATTCTTCACATTGAATAAATAAGCAACCACTGGGAGGTTGGTCATTCCTGAAACTCAGAAAGCCTGTTAAGCTCTTAAAGCATGGGAGTATTTTTACTTTCTATAGTCATCTCCACATTTGGAAAAAGAGCATAATTTTTGGCCCTGGCCAGGTAGCCCAGTTGGTTAGAGCATTATCCCAATACGCCAAGGTTGCAGATTTGACAAATCTATCTCTCCCTTCCTTTCTCTCTCTAAAAATTAGTTACTTTTTTCTTAA